TGGGTCGTTCAATCGAAGAGTCAATGAAACAGACTTTGTGCAGACTTTTAAGTAACAATTTTTGTAAAAAGAAAATAAGAAATAAATTGAAAAAAAAATGTTTTAATAAGGAACTCAAATAATATAAATATAGGACAATAAAATATTAAGGTTAGCAATAAACATTCTAGCTTAAAGAATCTGTAATAATAGGAAGCCTCAAGATTAAGCCGCATACAAGCTTAAAAATAAGGGAATGTGGGACTTTAAATTATTATAATAATTTCTTAAAACTAAACTAAAAAACTATAAAATTAATTTTTAAACTTTATTTTAAATTAGCACCTTATGTAATTGTTGAAACCCTTTTAAAACTTTATTCTTTCCAGCAGCTTTTCATTCTTTTCTGACCATTTTGTTCTTGTTAATGTTAATTAAATTTTCTTATCGTCTTCGAATGCCCAGAGGCTTTAATTTGTATTTAAGGGAATTCTCGGGTGGCACCACCAATTCATTGACCTTCTTCACACGCGAAAAAAAACACACACACATGTATGTGGCACACACTTACATGCCACTAGGAAATAATGGCCGAAAAATGGGGTGGGAATTTCTCACAGGGATTTTTGCATTTATATATTACCCATACTTATGTACATACATACGTGTATGTAAAGTATGTATAATCGTCTGAGAATTCCACCCCATTATGATTGAGATTTTTGGTTTCCAGAGAGCCTTTTTAAGGCTCGGTGGCTTCCTGCAGAAAGTGCCCCGAACGGAGCTCTAAGTGGCCTAATTAGCAGCCGTGCGGCGATCAACACCACTCGTGTGGTATCGAGTGCACCACCAACCACCCACCCACTCCATTGACGTTTTTTTTTTCTTGCAGTGTATGCACAGCACACCCACCACGTCAGAGTATTTTGCATATTATTTCACGCCATTGTAGCGCTTTCAACGCAAAACTGAACAAAGTAAAGTAAAAACCGTCGACGTCTAACAAAAAAAAAAAACACTCGAAAAAAAGATGGCTAAAAAAAAGGGTGGAGTGAGGAGGGGGTGGAGAAGTGGTGGTAACAAACTACAAAACAATGAGGCGACTGAGTGCCATAAAAACTCTGTCGCCAAAGTCCCCGGATCAGGGTTACATATTCATACGTCGCCTCCCAGTTCATTGAAAGAAATTCCAAAAATAAGACTTGAAATATAATTGTTATTTGTATTTAGTTTAATGATTTGTTTCTTTTATTAAAGACTAGTTTTATAAGTATAGATTGTATTCTAATTCCCAGATATATTTTTAGTTTAAAGAACTTGAAAACAACAAACTTTTGAATATTCAATAGACTTTCTTCTAAGTGATGTTATAACATAAGGTATTCTTTTTTTATACCTTATTACTTATTTAACGTATTTTTTATATCAAAATATATATTCTCGGGTGGTAAATCTAATAAAATCCACAATCATCTCGGACTCTAAAAGTCCGATTGACATCAACTTTAAACAAATACTAGTGACAAACCAACCCAATCCCAATCGAAATATATATTTCTCAGTGTCTCCAGAACCCCGTCCCCCCACTACCTCTGACATTTGCCGTTTTCCCTTTTGGGTCTTTGGAGTCCAAAGTCAGAGTCTGCACTTTTTTCAGTATTTTTTTGTTTGGTCTTTGGCGTTAGTCGCCGCACTTTGGGCGGCAAAAATGCGCTCGACACACACAGAGGAGCGGTGATGATGGCGATGGCGGCTCCATAGTTTACCGTTTGACGTATGCACCTACCAGGAGGAGCAGGTGTCCCCCAGAACCTTACCCCACTCTGTCCGCCATTTTACATTACCATGTTTGGTTTAGGTTTTTTGCCGGCTTTTGGCATGGCTTCCGTTTTGGGACTGACGTTGCCACCACTGTGCTGCCATGAATTTTCCTCAATTTTTTCTTTGCCTTCACTTTTTTTTGTTTTTTTACTGCCATTTTCCCTTGGAAAGGTGTTGTCGTTGTTGCCCCACACATTGGATCATTTAGTGGCCACCACACCTCCTCATTCTCCTCATCCTCCTCCATTCAAAAAGACCAGAAAACTTGGCCAACTCTTGTGCTTTTGTCATTGGCATCCATGGTCGGGTTTTTTGTGGATAAATTCCGATTTTCTGGGAAAAAGTGCCACAAAAGGCACAAACAATTCAATGCCAAAAATATCGAAGATTATTTTCTAGAATCTATAAAGGGAGACAGACCAATCGTCACCCATCACCTATTTTGGTTTCTGAGTTCTGGATTTGTGGATTTTGTATGTTGGATGTTGACTGTTGGATTTTGGGATTTGCATTCATGTTCATAGACATCTACGACGAAACAATGCAACTCAAAAGGCTTAAAAGGCTGTTGATGGCCAAAAGCAAAGTATTGACTCATTTATTTTGAGTATTTTCTGCAATAATTAGATTCTCAATTAATAATTGAGAATCGGATGAGAATTGTGGAAGATATAGCCATTCCTGTGGGCCCTACAGGGGAAGACCCCATTTTCAAGGGATCTCATCACGAAAAATGGACCAAAAATCTAAAAAATATTTTGTCTCTGGATTTAGATGCAGAATGGTGGCGAATCGATCCAGAAATCGTTTAAGGTACTCCGCTTAAGAATCGGATGCGAATTGGGGAAGATATAGCCATTACTGTGGACCCCATAGGGAAAACTGCATTTTCAAGGGATCTCATCATGAAAAATGGACAAAAAATCGAAAAAATATTTTGTCTCTGGATTTAGATGCAGAATGGTGGCGAATCGATCCAGAAGTCATTTAAGGTACTCCGCTTAAGAATCGGATGAGAATTGGGGAAGATATAGCCATTACTGTGGACCCCATAGGGAAAACTGCATTTTCAAGGGATCTCATCATGAAAAATGGACAAAAAATCGAAAAAATATTTTGTCTCTGGATTTAGATGCAGAATGGTGGCGAATCGATCCAGAAGTCATTTAAGGTACTCCGCTTAAGAATCGGATGAGAATTGGGGAAGATACAGCCATTACTGTGGACCCCATAGGGAAAACTGCATTTTCAAGGGATCCCATCACGAAAAATGGACAAAAAATCTAAAAAATATTCTGTCTCTAGATTTAGATGCAGAATGGTGGCGAATCGATCCAGAAATCGTTTAAGGTACTCCGCTTGAGAATCGGATGAGAATTGGGGAAGATATAGCCATCCCTGTGGACCCCATAGGGAAAACTGCATTTTCAAGGGATCAAGGGATACTTATAGTATCATGGTAGTAGCCGCATGTTGGCTTAGTTTTAAGTTTTAAAGATCTTGAAATAGGTCTTGGAATATGGAATAGATAGGTCATGGAATAGACTATATGTATATCGTAAAAAGATAATATAACTGAACAAAAAAATCAAACTATAAGGTTTCCCTGTTTCTTTTCGATTTCTTAAAGGTTTTCTAAAGAGGTTCTATCCCTGTCTATATTCTTTCCTAGATATACATACCTATCTTCTAACTAAACAATAGACTAAGTTTTCTAAGCTTGATTCGACTTTTAAATTTCGATTAGGAATTCAAATTGTGAGGCTTGCAGAATTTAGAGCCACTGCCTAGTCCGAATTTTGGGGGGAAAGTCTAAGCCTGCGGGAACTCAAGTTTCCAGATTTTGATACGGAATGAGGCATATGAGTGTGTTGTGTTCTCTGTGTGTGTGTGTGTGTGGGGTACAGTTGCGCCATTGCTGTCGGTGCTTCGGTGCAGTTGGGTGCCTCAATTAGTGGCACTCCACAACGCAAGCGCTCTAAGGGGGGCACGGGGCACGGGGAACGAGGTTCCATGGGGGAGGCTTAGTTCAGTTCAGTTCAGTTCAGTTCTGGGATTGGATTGGATTGGGTACCCGGGATTGGGGCCTCCTTCTGATTGAGGCCAAGAAGGTGGAGAGGGGGACCGGGGTGGTGGGTGGTGATGGAGGGAAGTGTGCAAGTGTGTGCCATTTTAGCCGAGAGAGTCGCACACTCGGTGTGTGAATGACATGGCCCAGCCAGCGGCTGTTCCATCGGAAGACAGCTGCGACATATACGACATATGCACAAAAGCAAAAGCAACGAGACAACAGCAACATCAGCCTACACTGAAAGAAAATATTAAAAAATTAAACAGAATATCTAAAATTATTAGACTAAGACTTTGACTTGAAAAAAGCGTTTGTTTTAAGAAGAAAGGCCTTTATAAACAGAAATATGTCCTCAATTATAGCTCTGATTCATACCTCAAGCTTATGATTTCTTTCAGTGCATCCACAGCAAACGACACATGGAGGCGGCATTGTCAACGCTGCAAACTGTCACACGGCAAAAAGGGGGGGCAGGCGGGCTCGGGCTGGCGGAGATGGCAGAGATGGGGCAGAGACAAGTGGCTCTCAGCTGGGGTCGCTAGGTCGTCCCAGCACCAGCACCATCCTAGCCATACCCCCCACCCCCTCCTGCACGGTGGCACCACCCCCTTTTCAAACAGCGAATGGAACTGAAACTGGCATGCAAATTACTGTCGAGCATGCTCATCTAAATTAGCAAAGGCGGACTAAGGCAAGGGGTAGAGAGGTGGTGGTAGGGGGGATCAGAATGGGGGGAATCAGAAGCTCAGAGGGTAAGAGGGTGAGAGGTCAAAGGGGGCCAGCCCGAGAGAGACTGGAGGGGCGAGTCTGCGAAGCATTTCGGAGAACACCGGAGGGTGGCATATGCATAATTATTTTTATTATTATTCTCTATGCCCGGACCCCGCCCATCTTTTCCCTAGCCAACGCCCCCCCAACCAGTCCGCTAGCCTCCCTCCCACCTTCCACCTGTGTGTTATACTGTGTGTGTGTGGCAGAGCTCAGGCAGGGAAATTTCCTATGCCCGCGGGATTTGGACCCCTCCTTTAAAGACGAACTCCTTGGCTTAAATATTCTTTATATGTTAAGCCCCAAAACTACTTAAATTATCCTAAAGAACCACTTCCAAATCAAAAACAAAAACCAAACCTTAACTTGCATACATATTTAATAATTTAAAATTACACATAAATCCAAAAAAGATAAACTGAATACAATATTCATCTTTGAAAACTTGATGAAAACTTGAATAAAACATTGATCTTTGAAAACATCAAACAATTGTCTCCTCTGGTGCATTCTTAGCCCTGGGCCAGTATATTATTCCAAATTCTCAGCAAAATATCAGCCAGGAACCAGATGAAATTAATTAGAATTTCGAGAAAGTCCATGGGCTTTAGAAAACACAAAATAAAAGAAATAAAGCCCCAAGGACAACATCCAGAAAATACGTAGTCAAAAAAGCGCACTACTCGATTCCAGGCATACAAAAAAAACACAGCATATATCAAATACAACAAATAAGTTAGTATCGAACTATCGAAGAAGCTGGTAATCACTTGCGGTTCTTCCTCCTTATCCCAGTTAAAGAACGCCATTTCTTCAAGTAATATATACGTCTATAAGGTTATTCAAATTGAATGATTACATTATTTACTTTTATGCAAATGTCTTACCTTTTTTAAGATTTTTTTTTTCAATTTTTTTTCAATTTTTAGTCCACACGCTTTAGAGTTTAAATGAAAACTGATGAATTGTAGAGCAAGTTGAAAGGCATTGCCTACTGCTTGACTCTAATATTTAAAAGGTAACTAGATTTTACGTTTTTTTGCTGATACCTAAAAATCTGAATTATAATATAAAATTTATTGAATTCTCCTTCAGGAATGACTTCCAAATCGATTAGCTTACAAACCCCAATATTTGACAGACTTTAAATAGGCGTGAAATTGTCGCAGCCAAGAAAGCCACTTTTTCTCTCGACATTTGAAGGCGACTTGAATGGGCTTTTGGGCAAACGTGAGTGGTGGTGGCTTGGGAGGGCGAACTGGGTGGGTTTTGGGTGGTTTTAGGTGGTCTGGGCGGTGGCGTAAAAGGCTTTGCATTAACACCACCCAAACACCCCAAATGCAGCCAACCAAATGTCAAACGAGGCTACTTTTCCCCTGGCTCGCTAATTTTTCCTATTTTTTTTTTGTTTTCCTTTAATGGGATTTACCTAAATGAGAGCTAATAATGCCCCGGCTGGTTGGTAAAATATTTCCGGGTAGGGGGTTTACGTACCGGGCGGGCGTATATGAGACGGGAATCTAGCATGCCATTTGATGTCGTAGATGCTTTTCGGTCCTCGGTGAGTGTGTTTGTGTGCGTTTTTGGTCCTGTTTCCACGGCTCCTTCGTCCTTCTTCTGGGCCATGATTATTATTGGCACATTAGCCAGGCGACTCGCTGCCAAGTGCTGAGCCAGCCACTCCAGCCACACACTCGACACTCGACCGGAGCAGCCTCTGACCCCCGACAGCCACTGAGAATGTAAGTTTTAAGATGCTTTTTTAAGATTTTAAACAAAAAAATGGTTTATTTTTTAGTATTCATAAATATTTGATATTTTAAAAATTTTAAATAAATTTTATGCCCAACAAAACTATTTAATATTTAATATTTTGTAGAGAGGTGTTTAGAAACATGGCAGAAATATGATAAATGGTATTTATTAAAGACTATTTACATTAACCCCACTGTAAATTTGTTTAAAAAATCCCCCTCTCAAGCCGCTTAATTTCTTAAAATTTTTTTTACAGTGCAGACAATATTTGCGAGGCGGAGCGGAAGCGTTGAACGGAACTTGCATATGTAAGCAAGCCAGGGGCAATTTTTGGGTCCAACCCTTCGGACGCTGCAAGGATGTGAAGGATTCAGACGGGCTAAAGGGGGGTGTGGGGCTAAAAGGGGCCAAGAGGGCCCCTTTTAGGGGTTAAGGGGGGGGCGGTCGCTAAAGCGCTAAGAGTGAACAGGATGAGGGGGAAAGGACGACAATTGTCGCGTCTAGAGGCACTTACGCTAAATTGCATTTCACTTGTGTGTGCGTGTGCTCGGGAAAAAGCAAATACCACTCGCACACTTCCACATATTCCATGTTGTGCCACACAGTACGTACATACATACATATATGTATGTACCATAGAGTACAGTGAAACCTTGCACAGTTTCGACACGCAATGACGGCTAGCGGCCAGGTCAAAAGTGCTCGACGGTCATCTCATAATTATCTCGGTTACTTCGGTTATGGTTCGCTACTTTCCTGAAGAGCCACGGCGACAGTTTAATAATATCATGAAAATAGCCACAGCTTGTTGCATGTTGCAGTTGCAGCTCCGCAAAGTGTCATGTGTTGTCTCCTTTTGCCTTTTCCCTTTTCCCATTTCCCGTGACGATGTCCGTGTCCGTGTCAAGGTTCGAGTGCGGCTTTTATTTTATAAAAATATAACAAAACCAAACTATTTGAAACACGCCAACTTTTGAAGGTAGCTCATCAAAATATTAACCGAATAACAGATGTTGGCCTATTGGTTAAGGTCCTATCCTTAAGGTCTTATTCTTTAAGTTTACAAGAAAGGTAAAAGGATTGCCAGGAAACTTGCCAACATCTTAATTTTTAGATCTTAAAACTATTAAGGTGTTCTGGGTTAGGTTATGGAATGATAATTAATTAAAGGACAGACTTTCTTTTTGTTTCTATTTTAATCTTCTTTTGAAGAGTTAATATTAATATTCTTCCATACATATGCAGCTTAAGAAATGTTTCAAGGATATGAAAACAAACCTTTTTAGAAAATCTTGTCAAGAAATAAAAAAGAAATAAATAAAGGACTGGAAAAATATATTGACAAACTAAGATTTTAATAAAAAAAATAGCCTTTTTCTAAAACCCAAAATATAAAAACAAAACCTTAACATATTAACATTTATTTAAACATATTAATTTATTTAAAATTACAAATAAAACCAAACAGAAAAGCTCCACTATATGCTGCCTTGTTTTAAAAATATTTATCCATAAGCTCGTTCAGTATATCCTTCGATGTGGTCCACAATATACCAACGTAGATGCAGATCATTTCAGCTGCCTCATCGCCCAGGCCATTAAACTCGAACACACAAAGCCAAGCCATCAAGAGACTCAAAGGAACCCATGCATAAGTTGTAGTCAAACACCAAACCAGGACCAAACCAAAAAACACAATACATAACAAAATAATTATTTTACGCCCCAACTCGTAGAAATTAGGAAGCATTTTGGGGGTTATCCTGGACAAGTCGGTCCTTTCTTTTGCTCGAGTTAGATATACGTCTGTAGGTTTATTAAAATTAGATGATTACATTATTTACTTTTTATAAAAATTTGTTCTTACTTTTTTTTTAAAGAAATTTTTCAGTTAAATTTTTGTAGTTAGGAGAAGTTACGCTTCGGAGTTTAAATGAAAACTGATGAATTATAGAAAAGGTTGAAGGGAAATGACAAATGCTTGACACAAATATTTCAAAGGTAACTAGATGGAGAATTCGTTGGTGATTCTTAAAATTTGTAAGTTTTGAAAAAGTACATTTAGTAATACTTAACTTCCCTGGTACTGCTTCGTACCAAAAACCTTCGTAATTATAATAAACCTTATTAAATAATAAGTACGATGATATGATGATGTTTTCTAATTCAAAAGTGGAATTAAATGGACCTTAAACTTCTTTAAAAAAAGGTACTAGAAAATTCTAAAGTTATTTATAAGAGTGTTGAGGCGTTCCTCAATAGGAACTTCCTCATAAGTTCACTTTAAAAATCCCTGAAACTAAGACCCAAGACTTGACCAACTTCTTGGAAAATCTAGTCTTTCCCAGACCCTGATTCCCTCGCAATTTTCCGCCTATCCACCCCAGCCCAGGCCCTTCCGAAAAGAAAATCTACAAAGTGAAGCGGTGAAGAGAAAAAATACTGTTGTCAATTCATAACTGAAAATGAAACGTTTTCTGTTTTCTGTTTTTTTTTTTTTTTTGCTGTAGTTGTTTTGTTACCATTATTATTGCCACAGTGCTACTATTATTGCTGCTGCTGCTGTTTTTTTTTTTTTTTTTTTTTCATGCAACTTTTACCATAATTGCAGTGCTAGCCAAAGAGATACAAAAGACAAAAAAAAAAAATAAGGGAAATAAGGGGGCAGACGCATTATGACATCGGGAAGCGACAAGCGAAACGCAACCTGAACATAATTACAACAATTTGTTGTCTAGTGTTTGGACAAAAACAACAACAAAAACAAAAACACAAGAGGCAGCAACAGTAGCGGAGGAGATGATTGTTGTCATGGTTGAATGATGCAACTGGAAAACAGGCAGAGGAGCCATAGAAACAACAATCCCACAACTCCGCAAAAGTCACGCACATTGAAATCGCCGAAGCGACAGGAGAGTCCAAAAACAACAAGTCGTCCCAAGGAACCCCAAAAAAAAATGTATATATTCTGGTAAGGAATATATACAAAGTAAAAAAAAATGTCACGGTTTGAAAGTCCAGGAAAGGTGGGAAAGCCATTGCTCCCTATCCAAAAAACATCACACTACAAGAAATTGTTGGGAGCTTATTTCCAGGATAATGCAGGAAAAAATAGTTCTATAATTATTAATAATACTTTATGTAGATACCAATATAACATGTATTTATAAGCTTTCATAAGAATATTACAATATAGACGGTTCATTAAGGTATTTCCAAAATTATATGTTTATATGTAATTATTTGATAAAAAAAGAAAGAATATGCTAAAAAATTTCACAAAAAAAATGTTTTCCAATTTTAAAACTATCATATGTACATAATATTGGCAAATTATAGGAACTTAAGCTTGGTCTCCAGATAGTTTAAGGTTTATATTCCAGATAAGGTGTCCAAATAAAAATTAGCACTCATACCTTTTGGAAGCCCTAAACTACTCATTCAAAAAAATCGAAATTAGATTAAAATAGTAAAGATATTTTTGTAACATTTTTCAAATAGTTTCATTGACAGTTTCAGTGCATTTCGCCTTCCCCATTTGGGGTTGAGGAAGTGCATCTGTGGCAGCTCCTCGGCGGTTCGCGTCACACTTCATTTCGACGCTTTCAACGCTTGTTGCGCCTCCAAATTAATTGCCCCAGCCTGTGTGCAGCGCCAAAATTTAATGCAAAGTTTAGCAAATACAAGGATGGAGTACTGCCTGTCTCCTTCTATATATATACAATTTCTTATATAGTGGATCCCCATGGGGATCGTTGGGAGCTTCGACTAATTAGCTGGCGAGGCGCAGGCGCCAGAATCCAGAATTCAGAATCCCGAAACCGAATCCGTATCCGCAATTTAAAGACGGGAGGATATGCGCGCCACATGCCCCATTATCAGCAATTGTACATTGTGCCACATTTTACAGTTAATTCCTCACTTGCAGCATAAAATTAAGGAAAATAAAAAAAAGATTTTTGTGGTATTGGATTATGTTTTATATTTGAAGATTTTTCAAATAACTTTCTTAGAATATATACACATTAAATATTTACAAATAAAGGAGTATGTATTTATTGAGATCTGCTTTTGTTTTGGAAACTATTGTAAGTCTTTAAAAGAAATATCAGAAAATATACCTTATAATCCTTGCCTCGCCGAGGAGCAATCCTTGCCTATCAATAATTTTTAATTGTTTTCAAATTCCAAATAAATTGTTTGATTCCTTGGATTGGAAATGATAGGAACAAGGATGTCAAA